TTCTTGAATTTTCGAAACAAAAAGCCTAAAAGAACAACCAAAATGACAAAAAGCATAAACATCTCAAAAACGTGGACGTAATGATACCAAAACTATAAAATTCTCCTTCCAGCATTTCATATTAATACCACCCATGAGATCCCATAAATTTGTAATGTTTTATATTCGTTCTTGAGATTAATCTCAAGGCTAAAAATACATTAACACCATACTAAATATAAGACATGTAGTATGAAGCTAGCTCAAAATAATCTTGCTAAGCTATAACTTGAAAAATAATATTAAAAAAGCAATTTTGCAACATTTATATGATACTTGAGATTAGTTTTTAACAAAAAAAAGTTAGGATTAGTATTAGTTTAGATAGAATAACATAGTTTACTATACTTAAAATACTTAAAAAGTAACAACATGTACGTTTTGCACAATGATAATATATGTATCTTCTTAACAAGAGCACATTTAGGCAATTGACAAGAATTAAGCCCTAGCCTAGAGCCCTAGTCCAAGCCCAAAGCCCTAGCCCAAAGCCCTAGCCCAAACCCTAGCCCAGAGCCCTAGCCAGTGCCCTAGCCCGGAGCCCTAACACAGAGCCCTAGCCCTTTTATTGACATTTTTTATTGATTAAACACTTTAAAAATTTTTTTTATAAAAACAAAGGTAATATTAGCGTTCATGTTGACCTAAAAACAAAATAATAAAAGCTACAGTAAGCCCATTGATGCATATATTATAAGCGAAAAAGAAATAAATTTTTATATTTTTTGCTTTCTGCTTTCCTGTTTACTGTTATACATCGCACCAATGATACGTGCTCTAAAGTTACTTTGAAAAGTTCGAAATTCAAAAAACATTTGAAAAATCAAATTTTATAAACGAGTAAAATACAAAACTTAAAAAAAAAAAAAAAAACAGTAATGTTACTATTGGTACGTGCTCGTAACTGCGAATATAGCAATGTACATATCTAAAACAAAATAAAGTTATTGCCATTTTTCCAAAAAATCAAAAAACAATTTTCAAAATGTTAACAATATTCCTGACTCCCCTCCCCTCTTCCCCCTCCCTTATTAGGCGTATATTACTTTAAACAAAAGCAGAAATCAAAAACTTGCCCAAACGAGTCTCATCTTATTGTTTACAGATTTGAGAGACAAAGAAGTAACAGAAAGGCGCAGAAGTCAATAAATATAATTTTTGATGTCCCCTCAGGGGCTTATTCAGATTTCTTCATGTCTGTTATGTGTTGGGCGTTCGTGAAAAATAAAAAATTAAAAAATTGCCATTTTTAAAATTCAAAATATTTCGAAAATAAAATTTGAAAATAATTTTTTTAAGGCTGGCCCGGCTCGGGCCGATCGAACAAATCTTAAACCTGGCCTAGCCGCTTTAAAAAAAATCAAAATTTTAAAACTTAAAAAATAAAAAAAAAATTTTTGAAAACTTGGGTATACTTTTCAATCTCGGTTTGTATCGCCGAGCTGGACCGAGCCGGGCCTACACGACTCGTTTCTCACCTCTGACGTAGGGTATGGTAAATGTAACAATTCAAAAAAGTCACAGCATCTTATCAAAATAACCATAAAGCCTGCTTTTTAAAGTGCAGTAAATTTAAAAAACTGAAATTTTTAAAATTTTAAAAAATGCAAAAAAATCCAAAACAATTATACAAACATTGAAAATCTTGCAACTTTTCAGAATCCTAAAATGGCTAATCTCATCGAGAACACGCTATTAACCCGGCACCGAAATTCGCTTATTTCCCTCAGGCATTTTGTATCTCAACTTTCTTGAAATGCATTCGTTTTGCACTTAATTAAACCCACTTCCTCCGCCCTCTGTTTTTGTTAGAATATTAGCATAAGGTCATGAAAGAATGGCCTGAGGAGGTAAAATACGATGCTTCATCAATTGCGGTTATTAATATAAATAATTTACTAACAAAGTTGAGAGAAATGGTATAAAAGAATAAAATAAAAATAAAATTTAAGGTCAACTTTGTTTTACAGTACTCTCTCTATATAAGCAACCCGAGAGGATCGACATTTCGTGGTACCATAGGGGGTGTTGTCTTTACAGAGAGACTTCTTAGTGCAAATTGACTTGACGGGCCAAATTTCTTGTTTACTGTAAGCAGAGTTGCTTATACAGATAGTTCACTATATAAAGGGACCACTGTATGAGTATAAGGTCTATTCTATCCTACTTTATACTACCTACCTTACCCGATCTTATTCTACCGTAACTTACCCAACATTACCATATCCTTTTTGGTGGCATGAAAAGGTAAAATACGACGGAAACTCTTGTATATTGTATTTTTTATTGTATTTATTAGCATGAATTTGACAAAAACTATGATTTAAAAGGTAAAATACGAAAAAACTTGCTTGGATTGTAAAATTTTTATTTTCAAATAATATCAAAAAATGTCATAACTAAAACCACTCTTAAAAAAATTCTGTTATGAAGTTGTTCAAATAATCCTGTGCTCCCTATATCCAAAAAAGTTGTTTTGAGATTGAGCACATAATTATTTAAACAACCTAATAAAAAAAATACATACTCAATAGTAATATAAAAATCCGATTTAAATATTAAAATGTTCAAAACAATAAAACAAAACCAATCTTCATAACAACAATAACTTCCAAAAACATGCCATTTCTGACCCGACCTCTGGCAATCTATTTAATCTGCCTATTTAAAGCGATCCGTTTCGAGAAACGTTAAATCGACTGGAAACCGCGGCCGTTCCTAATCGAATATGCAACGAACTTGTCACAAGTCTACAACAGTAAGATAATCTAATTTTTATTGGAAACAAAAGAAAGTACAAGGCCGAGTCGAGTTGTCACAAACGTTTGTTTTAAACTGTGTTAGACCAAAAACTATTGGCTTCTGGTACGAGTTTTTATTAGATTGGAGGAAATGGGTGTAACAAAAAGTACTTTGCTTGAATTTTTAATCTTATGCTATACTTAAAATTAGAAAACATTATGTCAAAGTTAATAAACAAAGATGTGAAGAAAAGAAAACCTGTTTGAGAATCGAAATCTTTAATTAGAAGCAACATGATGATGACAAAACATCTGGTAGATGAAAAAGATGTAATATTATATATTAATATGTTTCAACACATTGATATATGACATTTAGAGCTGAGATCGGAATCAAAGTTAGACAAAATAATAAAAATTAAAAAATGTTTTGTAGGTATGAAAGCAAAGGTGGTTCGTTATGACCTATAAAAACTAAGGAAATATACCATGCTTGGATAAATAAGCATATACGTGAGAAACGAGCCCAAGGTTTAGGCCCGACCGGTTTTCATTTTTCCCTCAGACTGGCTCAGCCCGATTTTTTACGTGCAAGCGGGCCGAGCTTTTCGGGCCTAGCCGGGCTCGAAAATCATTTAGCCGACCTTGATTTAGCTCTTTTGTTACCCTACCCTACCCTACCCTACCCTACCCTACCCTACCCTACCCTGCCCTACCATACCCTACCCTACCCTATCCTACCCTACCCTACCCTACCCTACCCTACCCTACCTTACACTACTTTTTCCTACTCTACCTTTCCCTACACTACCTTTTCTACTCTATCGTGTTCCTTTTTGTAACCTCTAAAACGCTTGCAGAATGGCAACATAAAGCCAAAAAACTAAACCAATTACTGTTTTTGGATTTACATTCTCCCTTCCGACGTGCCTACCCACTCATTACACCGTTCCCAAAATACCGTCAACCTCGATGGTCTCCGAGGACTTCCGTGGTTGTCAAAAGTGACAAATTGAGTTGACAAGAAATAATTTGGTCGCTTTGTTGCCAAAATTTCTTGCCGTTCCGTGCTGTTCACGTAATAAATTTTAAACCAAATTATTTTTAAATCAATTTAAAAATATTTCGTAGCTGAAATAAAAAAAAATTGAAAAATTAGAATATGACGAAACTAAAAATTTGGCAAAAAACTGGAACAAAGGCTTCAGATAAAGAGTTGTAATCAAATTACACTATAGTGCGCCAAAGTAATTGACATCGTATTATTCATGAAGTGTAAATCTGGCTACGGTAGGCTTCGGCGCTAATGAAATTAAGAGATTTTCGAATATAAATAAGTGACGATCTAGCTTTCAATAATGATGAAGATTCAGATAAAGCAAACATCATTGTTACATAAAAAATCAAAAAGTTTTCACAAATTTCAAGTTTTACTGATCTTTCCTATTTGATTTCTATAAAACTTTTAAAAAAACCAAAAGTGATACTAAAAAAAAAAGTAAGTAATGTATAAAAATATTAATCTATATAAATTTACAAAAAAGTAATAAGAAAAGAACAAGGAAGCAGTCTACAGCACAATGTAAAACTTCGAAAACTTTACGATTAAGACATAACGAGCTCTAATCTTCTGCAAGCTAATTCAAACCATTTTCAAGATTAATCCAAGACAATTTCCTTTTCTGAACTTTGATTAAAGCCCACATAAACCTCCCAGAACGTTTAATCTGTCATTGCAAAGCATTATCATAAACAACAGATTTTAAAGCATATTAAAGTACACCTGCAGCTTTCTTTGCAATAAAAAGTAATTTTATTATGTTTAATAATAAAAATAATTTAAAAAATTAAAATTTTAGTCATTTTTCAATTTCTATGTTCAATATTACTCTATTACAATATATTGTATTAAAGATATGAAGATTGAACGCGTTAACGCCAAAAACGCTTTTCCGATATCTTTTGTGACACTTCGTCTTAAAATAAAACGAAATGTAATTGCGAAATTACTTTATTATTTTTTCTAAAAGATTTTAAAAATTTTTAGAAAACTTTTAAAAGTTTGAAGAATAGCGTATGAATCCGTCTACATCAAATTCTGACACAGCTGGTTTATTTTCTAAAATTTTGGAATTTCCTAATGTCTTTTACAAACATCAGAAAAAGGATGAAGAAGATTTGAAAACTGAAGAGAAGATTGAAATATTGTCTAAGCTTTTCATGACAAAGCCATCGCTGTTCTTGCAAAGGTATCATCAGTATATTGGTCAAGGTAGGAGATTTTTGTTTGAATTTTATTGTTTTAGGTAAAGGAGATTGGGTTTGTTGCCTACTTTTATGTTTCTGAAAGATCTTGAAGTTTTTGCCTGGCATATTAGTCAAGAATTAGATAATAAATGAAATATTGGGTTTGTTTTTGAAATAGAAAACTTACAGTTACTTTTATGGTCAGCTTTTTATAAAAATCATTAATTTATATAGTTTTAGATGATCTCAAACTGTTTGAAGACGATGAAGCTAATCAAATATATTTTGACTTGATTAGAAGGAAAAAATCAAATGGAAAGCAGCACAAAGATTTGAGAAATCAAAGGTTTTTAGCGATGCAACAGCTTAAAACAGAAGGAGAATATTTTTCTTTGGATAAGATGAGAGAAAGAGATCCAGATTTATTTGATTTGATGTTAGGAGCACATTTAAATGACGATGGTATGTTTTTTGTTATTCCCTGCTGTTTAGGGTTTTTCTGGGACATATTTTGATAATGTTTTTTGATAGACAAGTTTGGGCATTGACAAATTGTGTTAATAGCTTTAACGTTTAACATTATTACCTTCTTTTTAGAAAAACAGTGTCTTCGACCAACAGTAGAGTTAAAGAATGGTGAGGATTATTCAGATTACATTGTGGAGTATGAACAATGCTGCTCCGAAGAAACATTAGCGAAAAGGAAGAAGCATATTGAGGATTTTGAAAAAGTGATGAAGAGTGATGGTACAGACAGGTTTTTACATCATGTAGATCAGCATGAAGACGACGAATTTGAAGTAGAATTTGATTCTGATGATGAAGATGGAAGGAATAAGGAGATTGAACGACAAGCGAGGCTTTTGAAGCAGAGAAAGGAAAAGGAAGTTGAGGATAGTAAGTTTTTAATGAGGATTTTGTATTTTTTATTATTTTGTGTAGCTTGTAATTAAAAATTCATGGCCATTAAGGGTAGCTTTTGATTTTTATGAAATTATACTTATTTTAAAGTTATAATTTTCAGAAATATCACCACAAGAAAAGCTAGATGCCGATAAAGAAGAAGCAACAGAAAAGCTATCTATATTAGAAGTTTCAAATAGCGAAAAGCAGAAACCAGCTTCTGATGCTGATAATATGGATCACGATCAGCGGGTGGAAGAATTCCGTACAATAATGGAAGAAAGGTTTTTGGATGGGAAAGATTCAAAGTTTTATGACTACAACAAGGTTGGTGAGTCCGCTGAATATACAAAAATGGTGGAACAAGATGAAGAAGATGCGTATTTTGATGAGGATTAGTTATTCTGGGCCAGCTGTACTAAATTTTAATTTAAAGACATATCTAAATATTATTTTTTTACCAAACTATAAAAACGATTTGAAAATTTTAGTTCTGACAATATTTATTAAACAAAAAATTAAAAAATTATAAAAACTGCGCAAAGTTTTACTGTTTTACACGGTAAAGCCGTTTATTTTACAATTGTGAAAGTTCCGAAGGGAATTCCTCAATTCCGAGAGTGTTGGCTCCGCGTTCGATTCTGAAGAAACCACCTTCACCCCATTTCTCGCTCCATGAGGTCTTTACAATCCAGTATTTAAGGCCGTCTTCTTCGCCGTAACCAACGATTGATACTAAGTGATTTGGTTCATCTACTGTCTCGTTCGGTTGGTAGATTCCACCTTTGTACTGACAGAAATCATCGCTTACAAAGTAAGCTGTAATGGGCCGGTTTAGGGGGGGGGGAGCTGGGTGGAGTTTCCTCATCGACTGTATCAAATATATGTCTGTTTTGAATTACCAGCACTTATTGGTCCCTTTTTATATATAACAGCTTTCATGTTCTCTGCATCGTTTGGTGCAAGAACGTCATAGTACTTAATCTTTGTTACAACTGGTTTTCCTTCTGATCGACATGTTCCATCAAAATCTGTTATACTGGCGTCGTATTCCCAATGTTCATTATCAGTCACGCCGTTGTCTTTGACAAAGTCATAAACTCCGTCTGAGAAACTATCATCACAGCCAGCATAGTTTCCATATTTGAAATTTTCGTAAGTACACGCTAGGATTTCTTCCACACTCAAATAGGCTGACACGTTCTTCTTGATCAGGAGTTGGCTTTCAATGGTTGTCAAACTTCCAAAAACGAAACAACTGCCACACCCTCCTTGGTTTCTGACTGGAGTCACTCCATCGTGTTCTCTCCAATCGAAAGAGTCTGGGACGTCATCGGAGTCTACGACAAGGTACTTGGAAGGGTTAATTTGCTTTGGTTTGTATAATAAATGAATCCGTTCATCTTTTGGTATTCTTCGTGCGACAAATCAGAAAGGTGATTCAAGGCAAAGGTGGCTCTTGGACTGTGCTTTGATTGTGTGGCAATACCCTTCAATGATTCTTGAATATTGGCAAAACGTTGAGCAACTTCTTCGGCTGTCTTGTACTTTCGTTCATACCTAAAATTTAGTTTTATGGTAAAAAACACATAATGTATGGTCAAGACATTATAACATTTTACTTTTGGATCAGCATTAAGTCTTTACATTATAATGTTTACTTTTACTACAACAGCAAGGTATTAGGTGTTGCGGTGTTGTTTGGTTATTGTGGTACGATAATGATACTATTAAGTATTAAAAAGCACTTACTTTTTGATAAACTCGGTAAACTTTTCAAAATCAGCATGTTGATCTTCAGGCAGGGTTTGCTTGAGTTCATATGCCAATTTCAATGAAACACGAACATCTCTTGACAAGGCCGAAACTCCTGCAACAAGACAGAAGAAGACAAACAGCTTCATGCTTACACAATGGTTATGGTTGATTTACAAGACATATTTATACAAAACATAATTAATTTCATTGACATTCATATTCAAAAGAAGTGTTTGTTACGTGTAATAAACTTTTTAATCTAAAGTGTTAATGTATAGCATCTGAACATATATGTTCAAATGTTATAGTCTCTGAATGATTTGAAATTTTTGCTTAAAATGTCAACGGAAATGAAAAAAAACTTAGTTATTAATTTTTTGAACCCACTAGCATTACACATAAAAAGCTCGTGCTTTTAAGTTTTAAATTTTAAACATTTGAGCCTTTTGTTCCGCAGACATTCTTTTATTTTATTTTTTTTTGGTATTAGTTATGTTTTGTATAAATAAGCTCTGTAAATGTACCATAATCATTGTGCAATCATGAATTTGTTTGTCTTCTTCTGTTTAGTTATAGGAGCTTCAGCCTTGTCAAGAGATGTTTGTGTTTCATTGAAATTGGCATATGAGCACAAGAAAACCCTGCCTGAAGATCAACATGCTGATTTTAAAAAGTTTATCGAGTTTATCAACAAGAAAAAAGTGTGCTTTTTAAACTTAATAGTATAATTGTCGTACCAAATTAGATGACATCTAATACCTATTTTTATCGTACCAAAAGTAAATGCAGTATCTCGTGATTGAATTCTGGTCCAAAAGTAAAATGTTATAATATCTTGACTAAATACCAAGTAATTTATGTATCATAAAACCTATTTTAAGGTATGACCGAAAGTACAAGACAGCTGAAGAAGTCGCCCAACGTTTTGCCAATATCCAAAGATCAATAACAAAAGTCGCTGTTCTGTCAGAATCCGACCCTATGGCCACTTATGGTTTGACAAAATTTTCTGATTATTCAGAAGAAGAATTGACAAGAATAAGCTCAGGGTTAACTCCTGAATTGCAAAACGTTGATCCATCAAAATATGTTATTGTTGACTCCGAAGACATTCCAGAAGCTTTTGATTTGAGAGAACACAATGGAGTAACTCCAGTTAGGGACCAAGGCTGGTGTGGTTCTTGTTATGCATTTGGAAGTGTAGCTGCAGTCGAAAGTCAGCTTCTAATCCACAGGAATTTATCGACCTACTTGAGTATCGAAGAAATACTTGCGTGCACCTACCACAATAAGAAATATGGAAATTACAGTGGTTGTGACGGTGGATTGCCAGACGGAGTTTATGACTTCGTTAAAGATAATGGTATCACAGATAACGAACATTGGAAGTACGACGACACACAGGAGGAGTTTAATGGAACTTGTCCTTTAGAAGGAAAACCTGTCATAACCAAGCTTGAAGACGTCATACTGCTTCCTCCAAACAATGCTGATAACTTGAAAGCTGCTCTATATACATATGGACCGGTTAGCGCTGGTAAGCTTAAGATATCTAAAAATGAAAAAAAAGTTTCGAAAACTATCACTATTATATATCAACAAACACTTTCCCCCTTGTTGATATGTATTTTATAGTAATTTTTAAGAGCTAAACGGCTTTCTCCTGGATTGTTATGAAGGAGGAATTATTACTAAAGACTACCATCACAATCGTACCCATCTGGTATTGATAGTCGGTTATGGTGAAGAAAATAACACCAAATACTGGTCGGTCAAAAACTCGTGGGGTTCGGACTTTGGAGAGAATGGTTACTTCAGAATTCAACGTGGAGTTGACATGTGGGGCATCGAGCAGTGGCTGTTGCAAATCCCAAAACTGCTTCAGTAAAACCATTTGAAAAATTTAAATATGGGGCGTTATGTACACCTTTTGACACTTTTCTAGTAAGACTTGATTCACATATCTTATTTAAGCTATGCTCTTATATAAATCTCGATTAATAAATAATATTATATAAAACATTTGGGCCTTGTGATTTATTGTGCCTAAATATTGTGATTTAAATGTTGCTTAAATTCATCTAAATGTTGAATATTTGTGTTTTAATTTACAAAATTTTCTTTTTGAATATGAATGTCAATGGCATTAATTATGTTTTGTATAAATATGCTTTGAGAATTAACCATAACCATTGTGTAATCATGAAGTTGTTTGTCTTCTTCTGCCTAGTTATAGGGGCTTCGGCCTTGTCAAGAGATGTACGTGTTTCATTAAAATTGGCGTATGAACTCAAGCAAACACTGCCTGAAGGACAGCATGCTGATTTTGAAAAGTTCACTGAATTTATCAGGAAGTAATTACTTTTTTAATATTTAAATGTATCCTTTTCGTACTACTGTAAGGGCTTTGACACCTTAAAATCATTGCTATTGTACCGAAGTAAAGTGTATCATGTTGTGACTAAATTGTAGTAAATTACTATAGTATTAAAATTTAGGTATGAACGACAATACACAACACCCGAAGAAGTTTCCCAACGTTTTTTCAGTATCCAAAAGTCAATAAAAAAAGTTGTTGTAGTGTCAGAATCCGACCCTATGGCCATTTATGGTTTGACAAAATTGTCTGATTATTCAAAAGAAGAATTGAAAAGAGTAACCTCAGGGTTAATCTCTGAATCTCAAAACGTTGATCCATCAAAATATGTTATTCTAGAGTCTGAGGAAATTCCAGAAGCTTTTGATTGGAGAGAACACAATGGAGTAACTCCAGTCAGAGATCAAGGTGTTTGTGGTTCTTGTTACGCATTTGGAAGTGTTGCTGCAATCGAAAGTCAGCTACTAATTCACAAGAATTTATCGACATATTTGAGTATTGAAGAAATTCTTTCGTGCACTTACCACAATCAAAAGTATGGAAACAACAATGGCTGTCACGGTGGACTTCCAGACGGCGTTTATGATTTTGTTAAAGACAATGGTATCACAGATAACGAACATTGGGAGTACGACGACCAACACGAATATTTCAATGGAACTTGTTCAGAAGTGAAACCTGTCATAACCAAGCTTGAAGACGTCATACTGCTTCCTCCAAACAATGCTGAGAGCTTGAAAGCCGCTCTATACACATATGGACCTGTTAGTGCTCGTAAGGTTTAGATTTTGAAAAGTAAAATATAAAACTTAAAAAATCTTGAAATACTATATGCTACTACACCAACAAGAACTTTGCTTAACCGTATATTAATATAACAAAGGGTGTAATTTTAATGGTAAAGTTTACAAAGCTTTTAAGCTTAAAGTTTAAAATATTGACACAAGTTATTCGTCAAGATTATATCAGAACCAAGTGGTCGATAGGATTTTTACCTTCTGTGATAATTCCTTTCTTATATTTAAAAAGGGGTGCACTACCAACGGCTGTAAAGTTTTGATGTACGTATGACTTTTGAAAAAAATGGTTAAAAAACATTGTGACACCCTGTTTATATTGGCACTTTAGTTTCGACCTTTGAGTGCCATATTAAATATGTTTGACTATAGTAAAATGCAAAAAACAAACAATGTACTTATTGAACTGACTGGTCCTTCTTTATACACAACAGCTTTCAGTTTTTCTACATCGTTCATAGGAACCTTGCAATAGTGTTTGACTTTCGTTATGATTGGTTTACCAGTCATATTGCACATGCCGGTAAAGTGGTGAATTGAAGAGTCGTATTTCCAATGATCATTGTCAGTGACACCTTTATCCCTAACAAATTGATACACCCCTTCTCCAGCTCCACCATTACATCCATGATCATTATATTTTTTATCGTTGTAAGTGCATGCAAGTACTTCTTCCGCACTCAGATAGGACGATACATTTTTATGGATCAGGAGTTGGCTTTCGATCGCTCCCAAAGTTCCAAAGACATAACAACTGCCACACCCACCTTGGTCTCTGACTGGAGTCACTCCGTTATGTTCTCTCCAATCATAGGTTTCTGGAACGTCATCCGCGTCCACAGTTATGTATTCTGATGTATTATCCTTTGAGGGTTCGTATATTAAGCCATTCAACATTTTACGCTCTTCTTCAGAATAATCAGAAAACTGGTTCAAAGCAAACGTGGCTTTAGGGTTAGATTCTGACAGCTCGGCAATGTCCTTCAAAGACTCTTGAATATTGGAAAAACGTTGAGCAACTTCTTCTGTACTTGCGTTCATACTTAGAACAATATTTTTTGCATTGATTTGAACTTTTCTCGTATAGAGATATGGCTACAGTAAACAACTTACTGGTTGATATATTGAATAAACCTTTCAAGATCATCATGTTGATCTTTATGCACGGTTGGCTTAAGCGCATACGCAAACTTCAATGAGCGACGAACATCTCTATTTCTAGACAACGCTAAAGCGCCTATTATTAGGCACAAGAATACGAGCAGTTTCATAGTCGCTTAATGATTTGGCTGGTTCCAAGTTTTAATTTATAAAAGAAAGCTAAATATCAATAGCATTTGCCATCAATAAAAGATATTTAAACTTAATTTATAATCTTTATTCTTTAAATATTATATGAAAGTTCCGATATTGCTCTCAAATTATTCAATTCTAAAACAAAGTTTTGTTGAAACTTTCGAACTTTAAATGTATTCTCAATTCAAAATATTTAGTTGTTGACAGGTGATAATTGATATAACGGTATTTAGGCAAAATTTGTAAACTTTATTCTTTACTTTTTGTTAGAATTAGTTCTTTGATTAGTGCCAATTGTTATTTTTTCAAATCTTTATTTTGTCATCGGATTAGTGTTTCTGAATTAGCTAGAATATTTTTCGTTCTTAGATATAGTTACTGTATTTTTGTTCAAGTTCCGCCTATTTTGAGAAAGCCGAAATAAGGAAAATACCTAACCTGCCCTACTCAGAAACAACTTGAAATTTTTTGTTTAACTTTTTGGTTTCTTTTTCAACTCTAATATTAAATTTGTGAGGTTAGGAAGGTTGGTGAGGGTTTGGACAAGATCTTCAAAGCAATTTATTGTAGCAGTTACCATAGACACCATCTATGTAATTCTGTTGCTCGAGTTATTATATTTAGTCGTAATGAAAGTGCTCCTCAAGGCTTCAGACCGTAGTCGGAAGCCTGCGTATGCCAGGCAGTTGATTTGCCATAGTCCTCGTGCCCTTAGCAATTCTCATTCATTTGTAAATTACAAACTTTCGGTTATAAAGAATTTTTATTAATAAGCAAATATATGTAAGGTAAATCATAATGATCAACTGTATAACTTTAATGATAAACTTCATGACGCTTTTAAGCTGAAAAAATCAGGTTGTTGACATAAGTTAATCTTCAAGTTGTAATGTTGGAATTTCCAAGCTGCCGCTTTCAATATTCATAATGTTGCTTCCTCTTTTAACTCTGAAGTAACCATCTTCTCCCCAATCAGAGCCCCACGAGTTTTTGACAATCCAATATTCAGTACCATTTTCCTCACCGTAACCAACTATCATAACCAAGTGATCAATAGGACTTTTACCTTCTTTGATAATTCCTTTCTTATATTTATAAAGTGGCGCACTACCAACGGCTGTAAAGTTATCATAATTGAATGACTTTTAAAAGAGGGTAAAACACAATGCACGTCTGTCTGAAATAAAACAAAAAATGGAAATGGAATTTTCTGGCTTTTCGTTACGTTTCAACGCGCTGCGAAGTGTCAAAAATTAAAATAAAATATAAAAATAGAGAAAAGAAAAAGAGAAAATAAAAAGACGCTTTGAAAAATTTTTGAACACTTTGCAACGAACGAAAAGCCACTATTGGTCATTTCCCATTTCAGACAGACGAGCAATGTGACAAACTGGTTATAATGGAACTTTGGGGCAGACCTTGAGTGTCATACTAAAATGGTTTGACCGTAGTAAATGCACAAAACAAACAATGTACTTACGTGCACTGACCGGTCCTTCTTTATACACAGCAGCTTTTAGTTTCTCCGCATCGTTAGGAACAAAGTGAAAGCTCTTGATTTTCGTTATGATTGGTTTACCAGTCATATTGCACATCCCGGTAAAGTTGTGTATTGAAGAGTCGTATTTCCAATGATCATCGTCAGTAACACCTCTATCCTTAACAAAGTTAAACACCGCTTCTGGATAACCACCATCACATCCATGTTCGTTATATTGTTTATCGTAGTAAGTGCATGCAAGTACTTCTTCCACACTCAGATAAGACGATATATTTTTATGGATCAGGAGTTGACTTTCGATCGCTGCCAAACTTCCAAACACATAACAACTGCCACATCCACCTTGGTATCTGACCGGAGTTACTCCGTTGTGTTCTCTCCAATCGTATGCATCTGGAACGTCATCCGTGTCTACAGTTAGGTATTCTACTGTATCATCTCTTGAGGGTTCGTATATTAAGCCATTCAACATGTTACGCTCTTCTTCTGTATAATCAGAAAACTGGTTTAAAGCAAACGTGGCGCTAGGGTTATCGGGAAATCCACCATCACAGCCATCTTCACTACCATATTCTTTGACTTCGTATGTACAATCTAATACTTCTTCTACACTCAAGTAAGATGATAGATTCTTGTGGATTAATCGTTGACTTTTGATGGCTGCCAGACTTCCAAAGACAAAACAGCTGCCACATTCACCTTGGTCTCGGACTGGAGTAACTCCATCGTGTTCTTTCCAATCAAAAGAATCTGGGACATCGTCAGTGCCAACAATCAAGTATTCAGACGGATCAACTTTCTTTGCTTTATGAATCAAACCAGTTATTCTGGTAAGTTCTTCTTTAGAATAATCAGAAAACTTGGTCAAACCATAAGTGGCTTCTGGATTGGATTCTGACAGCTCGGCAATTCTTTTCAAAGATTTTTGAATATTGGCAAAACGCTGAGCAATTTCTTCTGCAGTGTTGTACTTGCGTTTGTACCTAAAACAAAGTTTTTTGCACTGATTTGGCCTTTTCTCATAAGAAGATATATCTACGGTAAATGACTGGCTAGTCGTTGGATGTAACTTACTGGTTGATGAATTGAGTAAACTTTTCAAAGTCTTGATGTAGGTCTTCAGGTAGAGTTTGCTTGAGTTCGTGCGCCAACTTCAATGAATGACGAACATCTCCATCTCGAGATAACGCTGAAGCGCCTATTATCAAACACAAGAAGGTAAACAGCTTCGTAATGCACAATGATTTTGTTGGTTTTAGAATCCTTATTTATTGAGAAAAAGCTATACGTCAGTAGCATTTGATACAATAAAAAAAATCTTTATTTGAAACTTATGTTAAACTTTGACATTTGCCTTTAATGGTATACTTCTGCTGTTATATTATAATTTGAATAACTTGCTGGTATATAGAGTTAAGATCAGTGCTAAAGCGGCAAATCAAAAATTTTTTTTTATTTTATTATTTTGTAAAAATGAAAAACCAATTCTAAGGTTAAGATAACATTTATTGTCAACGAACAGTAACAACAATATAATACTTTATTAGATTTGAAGCATTGCGGAGAGACAATACAGTATAAATAGAAGTTTCAAATGCTAAAATACGAAATAATTGCGTCAAAGTGTACCCATTCTTTAATACTGCGCACTAGACTTTTCCATATATACAAAAAGATACCAATCCAAAATACATAGTATAATCAAAAAATGTCAAAGAAAAGTTTTGTCGTTTTTAAACATTGTATTGAAGTTTAAAAAACGACAAAACTTTTTGAACACCCTAAGATATTAAGTACAATACAAACAAATGAAAATATTAGGTTGTTCAAATAATTCTGCGCCCCCTAACCCTAAAAAATTTATTAGAGTAGAAGCTCAAAATTATTTGAGCAACCTAATATTATTAAAATACCTTTAGTAAATAAAAATGACAATTTTTAAATACATTATGATGGCAGATTACCCTCAAGCCTAGTATAGGTCTCAAGTGTAATATAAGTTTAGACAGTAATATAACATAGTTAATGAATAAAAAAAATCAAAGTAAAAGCCTACAAGGTATGAATAAATAGTTAAGTTCCTATCTAAAGCATAAATACAGTAGTGAATGTCTTCTTTTTTACAGTAGATACTGTAATCACTCAAAAGACAATCTTGTCATACGGTAATTAATACTGCAACTTTTGAAAGCTTGTGGACCAATATATGAATAGCAAAAGCCTTTTGAGCCATAGTATATCAATATAGGCATATAAGAAGCCCTCCAAACCATAGTATGTTGATAATACCTTCAAGCCTTTATCACCCATATCACGGTAGGCTGGTAGCCCATGACATTTAAACTACAGTAAGTACTACTTTTACGTAATAAGTAGAACCAATTGGGTATCTACACCATGGTGACTTGACAGTTATTCTGCAATATGCGTTTAACCTCCTGAGCAGGGTCGATATTGTTGTTGAACCCGTTCTCCTCGTCGCTGTTGTACCCGATTGGTGCACTCTTAGATTCACTGAATCCACTCTCATCACTCAACAGCACATCTGAGTCGATACTCGACTGTTCTGGTCGTTTCGACACTCGACATAACTGTGTCAGTTCATTCGACAGTTCGGTCGATAAGTGCTCAGATGTCAATGTTATTTGTGAACCAGTCTTCGATTTCTCAGCATAGTTCGGCGAGTTCTGTGGAGCTTGTGGGTAATCCTGTTTGAAGGTGTAGTCTGAATTGTGGCTAGCCGATGACCCAAACCCATCATCCAAACTGGCACAGCTCGAAGTGGACGAACCTTCTTCATTAAGAATATCCTCGGCGGGGAGTTCGTCCTCTTCCAGTACCACACCCTCCTCGTACTCGTCCTGCTCGCAGATGTTCACAGTCTTAGAAGCATGAAGTCGACTTTCGGCGAAGCGTTTTCGATTAGCTGAGCACAGTGACAGTTGACGACGAAAGGTGTTCTGATTCGAGGTAGGGCCGGAGGCAGTTGATGAGTCCTGGGTTGAGGTGGAGGTGGTGGAGTCTTGGCTGAAGGAGTGGTTTGAAGAACGTAGGCCTGGAGGACCGCCGAGGAGTGGGGTGCCACGGTAGCCAAAGGATTCGGCATCTGAGGTCTGAAAAATGAAAATTTAGAAATTTGAATTGAATAAAATGGTAAAGAAAGGTAAGAATGAAGGAAAGACTAAAACAAGAATTTTTTTAAAAATTTTTTAAAATTAAAAAAAGTCTTTTTTTTGTAAAATACGAAAACGCCTCCACAAATCCGATTAATCAAAAATTTTTTTTTGAAAAATAATTGATTGACAATTGCGTTTATGTCCATATTTATTGGTTTTTTTTTGTTTTTACTAGTTATATTACAGTTTTCATAGATCTTTTGAATTAACATAGAGTAAACACTAGAATTTCAATTTTAAAAAACCGTGTTTTGAATACGTTTTCTAGTTTTTGACAGCCAAAAGATGGTCTTTTAGGTAATATTTGGCACTTTCAAACAAAAAAAATTTTAAATTTTAAAACTTTTTCGAACTTGAATTTTAATCCGGCCTAAACGCAAAAAAATTTTTTTTACCCCGCCCAGTCATATTGTTTCAAAAATCCCATTTTTTAGGTTTTTTACCAAAATTTCAACCTTTGATCCTTTTCCAAAATGATAGACAGAAAGACCTCTACAATACATCTTACTGATCAAATCAGTCACACCATTGACGTGTAATCCAATTTTTGTTTATTCCGGATATTCATCAATGCTACTTTATTCATTAGCTCTTTTTTCTCCTTCAAATCCCCCGTGGGCTGCGAATTAACAGCAAAAAAAGTGTGGCGGTGAAAGTTTAAATCCAGGTTTTTGTTTACTAAATAAAAAGAATGTCATTTTGATTTAGGGATAAGATATTTTTTATTTTTTAATGTAAAATAGTTATGTTACAGTGAAAAATAAAAAATTTGATTTAGAGATCCAATTACTGCCAAAGTTAATCGAATTTGAAAGTTTGTAGAGTAATTATGCTCGCGATTATTATTGTTTTTCTATCGAAATTAAAGCACTCGACCCCGAAGAGTACTCGAAATGAGATCTAATTATCTTCCGTCTATATAGTCTTACTATATTCTGCAAAAACTTTTGCAACGCAAAACAAAAACACTAGACTGTGACATTTGAAATGGCACGGATACGTGATAAAAGTATAAATTTCCAGTCTGAGAGGCTTTTAAAATCGAAATTTAAAAATTTCGTAATTTTATGAAAAATGGTCCTACTGGTACTAGCGGTACTGTTTAAATCCAAAAATTGTGTAAAGGTTTTTTTTATACTAATGATACCTTTTTAGCCAAAAAATTAAAAAAATATTTTTTTTTTAAATTAACAATTTTGTCAAGATGGTGCTAATAGTACACCTATAAATTTTAAAAGTCAAAAACCGTTCAAAAAATTAAATGTAGTCCTAATGGTACTACCATCAACATAAAGTATCGTCCAAAAACTTCAAAATAGACCATAAGCTCCAGCTTTAAGACAACCCTGCCCAACTTTTTAATAAACGGTACCACCTTACCTCATCAAACTCATAATCGCTGACACATTGATCGTGAAGCAGGATCTTCTCCTCATCGATTTCATCTTCTTCATCGATGGATCCTAGTCGAGGAGCACTTTTCGATCGATTTACTGGTGGTCTAAAGTTGAGGGTACCACTTTGTAGCAGCATTTTTCTTCTTGGAAGAATTTCCCCGTTTTGGGTACCAGTTACCACTGATTTGCGGGCTTTTTCCATCGCTAGCTTCTCTCGTTTGTACTCCTGAAAGAGGTTATGTTGAGGTTGGGTTGGTATGAGATTTTATATTGAGATTGGGTTAGATTTGAATTTTATATTGAGATTAACTAGCTTGAAGAACTTTTAATTTAAAAAATTTTAAAAACTGAAAAAAATGGTTTTAGGTAATAATGTGGCATTTTATGAACATCTTATCATATTTTTCAAATTTCATGACATTCCAACTGTTATGAGTATCCAAAACCAAAGCCGATTCCTATAAGGAACTCACACTAATCCTGTTATACCTAAAGTGCCAAAACAAATCCAAGTTCCACCAACTTTTCCTTACTGAAACAGAGATTTGTTTTTTTTTCAAAATAAAAGTTTTCTCACAATCTCCACGTAAAACTTTGACTGTTTGTTACACTTATGTTAACCTATCATTAGTCTTAACTACTGTGAATTCTTCCTTGTTACTGCGTTACTTTTAATCGCTTTTCTTTGCAAATTCATCGCTCTTGTGGTGTTTTACAACTGTTTTGAAGTGTTTTTTGAGCGGAAAGTTTGGAAAAATAAAAAGATGTCTATTAATTTGATTGGAATTTAGTGTAACTAGAAAGTACTGAAGTAATTTACTATGGTAACATTGATTTAGTTTTGAAAACATCCAAAAAAAGTGATTTTATAGTGAAAATATGGCTATTTTGGAGCAAAAGTAGATGTTTTTCAAAAATTCATAACTACCTTAACATGCATTGCCAAAATATCGAATTTGGCACAATTAATCAGCATGTACCATGGTTGATTGGTACTTAATTTGCTTATTATACATGAACTATTAACCAAGATATTACACGTTTTTCCAAAAAAACAAAAAATTGACATTTTTTCTAATTTTTAATGTTTTCTAAAATTCTTTTCGAAACCTCATACTACTTTCTAACAAAAACCAAAATTTCAATTCATACCCTACATTTAAAAACCTAAAAATCACTTCGAAACATTTCGAAAACCCTAGATTTTGGCGACGTAACCCTTACCTGCAGCGCTGCGTGGAGATAATTCGTGAGAGTTTCGGCGATTTTGGTCGGTTCGCTGCGTTTGCGACATAAAACAGCATGACATCTCAACTCAGGCTTCATTCTCTTGCCTTCGTGCTTGTACACCCAACAAAATACGCGAGGGTACTCGGCTGGTGCATAACAGTACGTGATGCGGTGGGCCCAGTACTCGGTGATTCTGAAAAGGGGAAGTTTAAAATTTGAGAAGAGTTTAGACTTAAAATGGAAAATATTAACTAAAGTTTTTTTAAACTTCATATTTTTAAAAGTTTAAAAATTCACAAAATTTTTGTAAAATACGGACTTTGCATTCTTGTATTTTCTTTCCAAAACCTCCCAATATTTTTGATTAAAATTCATTGTATGCAAATTTGGAGCCTCAATTTGAACCCCTCTTAAGCATTAAGAAGGCCTTGCGACGGCGGAATTCGAATATTTTTCGATTCTTTTTGGGCCCATAAATCGCCAGACACTAAATTTAATGGGAAAAAACCAGAACTTTCTACTGTTTTTCAGCATTTTAATGATATAGCAACAATATTTTTTAAAATTTTGTTACTTAAAAAATTAAAACTTGATATTTCACATTACATACATTCAAAAAAAAATGTCAGTTCCATCATTTTTAATTAGTTTTATTGAAAAGTAGCTGGAAAAGCTGGAAAAATCTCAACAAAATTTAAAAAATAACCCTTATTTTACCTATTTTTTCCCAAAAAATATAAATTCTACAAACTTTTTGACCCAAAAAACAAAGTTTAAGCCTGTGATTATAATGTAAAGCACTTAAAACTGTAAATTTCTGTCGCAAATTTTGTAATTTTTATAAGAAAACGATGAAAAAAGTGTTTTAAAGTCGGCAAAACCGCCCTAAAATCAAGACCTTTAGACGTGGTAATGACTGTATTTTAAACTTACAGTCGAAATTAAGCACTTTAGGTATTTTAAAAGTTAAAAATAAACTTTTTTCTTTCTTTTTAAATTAAAAGCGACAAGAATTTCAAAATGATTTCTTGAAAATGATAAAAATTTGATTTTTGTCACCCAAAAACATCAAAAAAAATTTTTTAAATTAAAAAAATTCCGGAAAAATGAAAAACCTACCCCAACTCTTTCGTCTCCACCTTCAACCCCTGCCTTGTCACACTCAATTTCATAGCCACATCCCGCTTCCTGGTCGAATACGAGCTCCAGATCGCCTGAAGCGGCCGCTCAATGCTCTGGTCTCCCTTGGCCATGATCGTGAGAACATTGCCAAGATATACGACATTGTGCATCTGGTCGGGCGGGTTGATCTCGTAGCATTGGCGGGACTTTTTGAAAAAACGCATTTGAGGCGCCAACGATGGCATTTTTCGTCAAAAACGACGCTTCTGAAGACAAAAACGTGGGCTTTTGGCTTCTGATTCGGATATTAGAGTAGGCTGAAACGAATGGAATTGATTTTTGTGCTCCGATTTTAATTTTTTTGTTCGGAATTTTGGTTTTCATTGTCTTTCGACGTGAAATAATGGCCAGAAAATGACGCGTTTGGCCAAGGAACGGCAAAAAAATGGGGAAAAAAAGCGATAAAATGAAAGAAAAATAATCAAAAGTCCATGAAAATTGACTTTAAACAGTGATATATTATCAGCAATTCACAAGAAACATAAAACAAAACGTATAAATATTACCTAAAATACTAAAAAATATTATAACCAAGCCTTAAATTATCAAAAACAACCCAAAACCCTACCAAAACCACCAAAAAACCCCACCAAAGTCCCCTCCAAACCTCCCAAAAACAGCTGAAATCGCTCGGAAAACGACCATAGTAACCCGATGACATACGAAGACAATAAAACATGTTTACTGCGGTAAATTCACATCACCCACTGATAAAATGACAACACTTTGGGCGTGTAGACAAGCCGAATCGGGCGAGAAATGGCATGAAACACGTCGCCCCCAAAGGTCACTCGAAGGGAGATCGGAATCAGCGCACCGTGCAGTCGCCTCCAAAGGGATTCGACACGCATCGTGCAATTTGGGAGTTTAAATTTAAAATACAGTGCATAAAATGAGATTTTTGAAAACTTTGAATTTAAAAATTTTCAAAATTTGAGCCAAAACAGCGCGAAATTCGCTTTTTAGAATAATATTGCACCGTGCAAGCCTTTTAATTTTCCTTGCACTGTGCAGTCTCTAAACCTCTACTGCACCGTGCAAAACCTAAAAATTCGAAACGCGACAAAACTCAACTTCCCTCATTTGCGACAAAAAAGAGAAAATGCAGGTTGACTTTGCACTGTGCGATTGTTTGTCTGCACTCTCTTGCTTCTCTCGTCGCTCGGCTTTGAGTGCGGCAAAAGGAAGGAAAACATTCCGCGACAAGCCGACCGGTGGTTATACAGCGACACCAGGTGACATTCGAGATCAATCCATAAGCGACATGCCGCGGCAAACGCACGGTGCAGTGAAGCGACAAAATGTGAGAGGAGTGGTTGCACTGTGCAGAATTTGAAGTTTGCACGGTGCAGTAGTAAAAACAGTTGCACGGTGCAAGAATTAAAGAGACTGCACAGTTCAAAAATAAAAGAGACTGCACGGCGCAAAAGAAATTAATAAGCTTGCACGGTACAATAAATTTAAACGTAAACTTCATTTTAAAATATTTAAAAAAGCTGTCAAAAAATAAATAGAAAATAAACCAAAAACAATATACAGTTGGTTTTCCAGCCTCTCTACAAACTTTTTAACCAAAAAACACAAAAACCATACTTTTTTACTTCTGCACCGTGTAAACCCCAAAAAAACTCATGATTAGGTAACAAAAGTGCAAAAAGCTACTGCGAATCTCCTGAAGCGCAATTGTCGCGGCAATGTTTCGTCAAAAGCGAAAAACAAAGCAAAATCTGAGAGAGAGCGACGTCCGCACGGTGCGCTGAGTGAGTGCACTCGAAAAGCCAACCCGAGTCGCGCGACAAAGGTGGAGAATGTAAAAGAAGGTAGGGCTTTTCGACCGCCAGCCTCGAAGGTGTGCGGGTGCGTTTTCGAATTGGCGACGCGTGAGGTTTGAATTGCACACCCATGCTCGTTTTTGGGTTTTCTTTGCCATACCCTTTTTAAATGATTGTCTCTGCCATACCCTTTTGCATAAACGATTCTTTTTGCCACACCCCTTATATAAATGACTCCTCTTGCAATGCCCTTTTTTAGAAACGATTCGTTTTACCATACCCATGTGAAAATGACCTCCTCCCGCCATACCCCTTATACTAAAACATTTTTTGCCATACCCTTTATAAAATGGTCTAACTCGCCATACCCAAGTGCAAATGACCCCCCTTGCCATACCCTTCCGTTTCTAAACAAAATTTGGCCAGCGGTCAACAATGGCCGCTCATTTGCACTTTGTCCCCCGAGGCCAATTTTGGGAAGGAAATCGCACATCCGCGCCCTCTGCCTCTTTATGCGCACTGCAATGAATTTTGAAAGCTAGAGCTTAAAGGGCAAAATGCGAGTATTATACTATGGACCCGAAGCCTTGCTATAAATCCAAAAAATTCGAGCCTAAAATTTTTTTAAAACTTAAAATCTAAAAATAAAAAAAAATAAAAAACTAAAAATTCCAAAGTTTCAACCCGCTGAAAGTGAGAAGCTTCAGAATTTCAACAAAGGCTTGATTAGCGATGGAACACTTCAATTTGACCACAAAAAACAACAAAACCATTTCCCGGCCCCGCCCCCTCTTGGCTCCTCCTTTCAAAGTGCAAAAACCAATTGCAAAAGGAAATGGCAGTATAGGTATGGGAAACAGAAAAAGAGCGTGAGAAAGCGAGACAGCATGGGAGAGGAAGAGAGCATGAAAAAGAAAGAGGGTTTAAAGTTCAGTGGAAAAATCGAGGTAAAATACGTCTTCTGTTGTTTACAAACCATGGTATGTTAAGGTAGGTAGCTGAAAAGTTAAGGTTAGTAAATTTTTTTTATTTAAATATCACGAACGTCGTAAAATACGTTGCCAATACTGTTTTGTTAACTTAAAATTTTTAAAAACACAAAAAAATTTAAAAAAACCATATTACAGTACTATAGCATGCTACATTACAGTATCATATCACCAATATCACAATATTATCTCATATGCCAAAACATAACATACTAAACCTATATCAAATTTCATAAGATTTCATAAAATTTCACAAAATTTCAAAGTCCCAGGCCCATTTACAACCACCCCCACCGGCTAATACGACTATAACACTACTTTGCCTAATAACATACTGCCTAGCTTTACAACTGCTTAATGGGATGATTGTAATGTAATTCCATAAAAAGCTGTATTAACGCTTCCGAGTGATCTCATTTACATAATGTAGGGTGACAACTTGCAAATGGTAATTTACATCTATGAAGTAGATGAATTTACTGTGGTGTACAGAGTAAGAATTTGAAAGAAGGTGTTTTAGGTATACAAATACATGTATTCTCACTCTGTACACCGCAGTAAATTCACGTACGACAAAAATTTTTTAAGACATGTTAACCGACCCCGTATTTTACAAATAAAATCATTTTTTCGCACCCCTCCCTCTTGTTTACCTCTCCTAACGCTCTACTACTATTCATAGAACCCATGCCTATACCTAACTTAGCTCTAGCCTCGTTTTAACAAAAAATTGCACAAGTTTTGTCATTTTCATTTTACCCCCTCCCTCCAAAAACCTTTTAAAACTTAAAAAATTCCTAAGCCAACTCCACCAAAACCTGACAAGCATCAGCGAAACTCATCAGAAAACTGACAAAATTGATGTCGCCAGACTGGAAATTAATTTTATTTCCGTGAGAACAATACGAGCATGATATATAGCACGGCGTACATTCTCACTGACATGTTCGTATGAGCATGGTATGTGAGAGTTGTGAAATGAATGATTAAAACTGACATTTTGGGACAGTTTTTGGGGGGTTTTTCGAGGTTTTGAGGTTTTCTTAGGTGATTTTAGGTACTGTAACACTGCAATTTTGGTTTTTTTATATTACTGAGGCTTTTAAAATTATACTATGTAATGTAAAATACGCAAGCTTTAACGAATTTTGTATATAAGTTTAAAAATGGCATAAAAAACGTTAAAATGAAATACAAAAACTATGCCTTAAGCAATATAAAAAATAAGAAAAATAACTTTTAAAAACATCACAAAATATCTTTATCCAACCTAAAACATCAAAAACCCGAAAATACAGTAGAATCAAGTCAAAAACATAGCCCAACCTAAGGTTATTTCCGTTGAAATTTAATTTAAAATCTCGAAGAGTTGCGCAAATTCAGTTAGAAAAAATAGCTCAAAGTGATATTCAATAGTACTTGTTAGTGTCAAGTTCAAAGAGAGTAAAACTTGATTGGGTATCAATGTGATTTGATTTGGGCACGTCAAAAGATTATATTTGTATTGTAAAGGGGGTGGATTTGATTGAATTTTTGTTTTGTTGGACTTGAGGAAGCAGAAAAGTTGACCTACTATAAGATATTCAAAGACTGTTTAAGATAGTAAAATACGCTATTCTTAACCTACATACATATTAAAATGCCAAAAAAAGTCTTGTCGGCAAATTATATTGTTTTTAGTCATCAAAAGCGACAAAACTTTTTAGAAGCCTTAATACTTCACCTATATGATACAAATTTAACTTCCAGATCTTTCACCATTAACAGAAAGATAAAAAAGTACTAATTTGAACTTTTATAGTGTTGTTTAACTTTTGAGCCACTATTTAAACATTTTGACACTTTTCCTACGTGGATAACATGTCTAACATATCACTATACTAAACTATTTTTAGGCTGTTTTGCACCTAATATACCCTACAATTTTCTATTTTTACATTTTTTGAGCTTGACAAGAGACGTATTCCAATAAGAAAAAAGTTACACGGAAGGGCAGCAAAAGACGTAGGATTCTATACATAGGAACATATTGATGTAGGTAGCAGAAAAGGTTTTAACAAAGCCAAAAAATTGACGTTTAGATATATTCATAAAGTAAAGTAAACCTAAAAATCAGTGTAAAATACGCATTTTACATGTGTGCATATGTTCAGTACCAATTTTAATTAAAAAAACGCATAAAAAACAGTTAAAAAAGTTAAATAATATTTTTAAAATTCAAAAAAAATTTTAACACTTTGCAGCACGTTCACAGAACTTCAAAGAACCTCTCCAAACACATATATCTTTAAGAATACAGAAGAATTTAACCCTGAACCGCTGACACTTTACTCTGTTACGCAACCGTGGAGAATATCTTTGTGTGACATATAAAGTGCATTCAACGTCAATTAAAACAGCTCTCGAAGTTACTAAACCTATAAT